TGGCCAGACATCTGAGTCACCTCCATCTTTATTCCTGTCCCAACACCGCGCAGTCTGACCATGGAGACTCTCTGCTTGGGAGGCCCCTGGGTCTCCTTCTGGGGCTGGGGATGCGCCACTGCCCGGGCACCGGATCGCATGCCCCGGCCCCTAGGTCTCCTTCTGGGGCCTGGCTGCATTGCCCCCAAGACCAGATCGTGTGCCCTGGTGGCGACACCTCCCTGGCCCCTGGGTCTCCTTCTGGGGCCAAGGCTGCTCCACTGCCCGGGCACCGGATCGCGTGGCACCAGCGGTGACACAGCCCAGGCCCCTGGGTCTTCTTCTGGGGCCTGGCTCCGTCTCCCCAGGACCGGATCGCATCCCCAGGCAGGGATGCAGCCTGGCCTCTGGCCCCGCCTCTGGATGTTCTCCAATCACTGGTGATCCCTGATCTGAGAAGCTCGGCGGGGCAGGGAAGAGGCGGACATCCCCAGGCTTCTCTGATTACTAGTCCAGGGCCGGCAAAGGCGGCCCAGTTCTCCGGCTCTTGGCTGCCACCTGGGTTCTGACACCGGCAGGCAGCTTCTTCCATCCTTCCCCTTTTGCCTCCTATCATTTTGTCTACGTATGCAAATTAGCCGCCATCTTTGTTGGCAGTTAATTGCCATCTTAGTTGGCAGTTAATTTGCATATCGCCCTGATTAGCCAATGGGAAGGGTAGCAAAGTTACAGTTAATTACCATGTTTGTCTATTATTAGATAGGATAGGAGCCAAAGCATAACTGTCAACTGATAGCAGAAGTACTTGCTGTCCTTACAACTCTAGGGTTTTTAGCAGTATCCAATTCTATTGCATAGTTGCTTATGATTTATCCTGAATGTTATGTTCAGCCACATCATCTATTCCTACCACGCACATAACCATCACTTCAATCAAATAAAATAACATGTAGTACCTTTGTATGAACACACTCTCTGGCGATTCTGATTGGCTTCTGTAGATCCTACCAACAGCCTGGTCATCTTCTCTCCAGAATTCCACATTCTTCCCATTCTTTAGAGCAAAGCCCAGCTACTTTCAACCTAATGGGAAAGTTTCTCACTCAGACATAATCCCTTCTTGGCCTGAAATCATAGAGTAATTTTTCAGGGTTTTGCATTCCCCCTTTGTCTTTTATTTCTTTCTTTTTTTTTATTATATAGGATTTTTTTCTTTTTTTTTATTGCTTAAAGTATTACAAAGAGTATTACATATTCTGCCCCCCAACCCTCTCTGGCCTTCCCACTGCAGTTTGACAATCAGTTTGAGGCAGCTCTGCCTCTGTATCTATTATTGTTCAAAAGTTTGTAATGGTCTCTATTATCCATGAATGAGTGAGATCATGTGGTATTTTTCCTTCATTGACTGGCTTATTTCACTTAGCATAATGCTCTCCAGTTCCATCCATGCTGTTGCAAATGGTAAGAGTTCCTTCTTTTTTACAGCAGCATAGTATTCCATCGTGTAGATGTACCACAGTTTTCTAATCCATTCATCTACTGATGGGCACTTAGGCTGTTTCCAAATCTTAGCTATGGTGAATTGTGCTGCTATGAACATAGGGGTGCATATATCCTTTCTGATTGGTGTTTTTGGTTTCTTGGGATATATTCCTAGAAGTGGGATCACAGGGTCAAATGGGAGTTCCATTTCCAGTTTTTTGAGGAAACTCCATACTGTCTTCCATAGTGGCTGCACCAGTCTGCATTCCCACCAGCAGTGCACAAGTGTTCCTTTTTCTCCACATCCTCTCCAGCACTTGTCGTTTGTTGATTTGTTGATGATAGCCATTCTGACAGGTGTGAGATGGTACCTCATTGTTGTTTTGATTTGCATCTCTCGGATGATTAGTGACTTTGAGCATGTTTTCATATGTCTCTTGGCTTTCTGAATGTCCTCTTTTGAAAGGTGTCTATTTAGGTCCTTTGCCCATTTTTTGATTGGATTGTTTATCTTCCTTTTGTTAAGTTGTATGAGTTCCCTATAAATGTTGGAGATTAGGCCCTTATCAGATATAATGTTGGCAAATATGTTCTCCCATGTAGTGGGCTTTCTTGTTGTTTTGTTGATGGTTTCTTTTGCTGTGCAGAAACTTTTTATTTTGATGTAGTCCCATTTGTTTATTTTCTCTTTAGTTTCCAATGCCCTCGGATCTGTATCGGTGAAGAAATTGCTTCGGCATATGTCTGAGATTTTGTTGCCTTTGGATTCTTCTAGTATTTTTATGGTTTCCTGTCGTATATTTAAGTCCTTTATCCATTTTGAGTTTATTTTTGTGTATGGTGTAAGTTGGTGGTCTAGTTTCATGTCTTTTATTTCATATCATTGGTTACACTCTTGGCAGAGCGGATCACCTTGGATGCATTTACATGTTGCCAGGTATATTTGCACCTCCAGCACGTCATCTCTGGAGGTCAGAGATTGCCCTATGAAACTTTATATCCACAAAAGTCAATGCATTATCTGGCATTTTTTTAGATGCACAATGAGAAGTTGATGAATTTACTTCACTAGCATTTGTGTCCCAAATATGCCTGTGGTCAAGAGAAAGTGGCAAATAAATCACTACCCACTTCTTATTGCATACTTCTATGTTCTTGGGACTATTTTAAACATTTTGCAAACATTTACAGTGTCATTTACTTCTTTTAATAGCTAAGGAACTTGGGCCATGAGTGATGACAATGTGAATACCCAAAATGAGGTTTGAATTTATCACTGTCTTCACAATGTATGTTATTTGCCCTGCTGTTCAGTTATAGTAGAGCTGACATAGTGCATGAACAACTGAATGGATGAATAAATTGAAGACACCTCAGTTCCCTTCTGTGCACTTTCTAGGGTGACTCACAAAATGACTCATGGATCTTTGCCCTGGCCGTGCTTCTGAGCAGCATGTTTGTCTACAACAGCATGGGCACCATCAACCACCAAGCCCTGGAGCAGCTGCAGTATCCTTCCAGAAACCCAACCTCCATGTGTCATGGAGGCTATGGAAATGTAACTGAGAGTATTTTTGTTGTTGTTTCTTCATGTCAGTAATCATGGTTGAGGAGAAAGGGACACAGGGTGAATGGAAATGTTCATAAAAATTATTTCCCTGTGAGATCTGGAAATTTTGGTGTGGAGCACCTCTCATTCCTTAGCTAAGATCCCAGCTATGTGACTAAACTAACAAAGCTAATCCGGGCAAAATCCTTTCCCAGCTCTGGTGAAGTAGGTGACTCAGCTGAGTTTATAAGTTTCTTTCCAGACTTTGTTTGGGTTGTACGGGATTTCACGCTGAAGCTGATGTTTGATGAACGCACCATCACTGAAGATGAGTACCTGGAGAATGCCTTGAAGTTGGTTACAGGTATCAGAGGACGGTCTGGGTGGTGGAGGATGAAACATTTGACTCTTACTTTAGAACTCACATTATATTTTTGACCACTGGACCATAATATAAAGTTCTATATGGCAATCTCTGACCTCCAGTGATGATTTGCTGGGGTTTAAACACACATGGCAACATGTACTAGTAAATCCATCTAAGGTGATCAATTCTGCCAGAAATGAAACCCAATGCTGGATGTAATCAACTGAGCCCTGTCATTTGTCACTTAAACTCAATTTTTATTTTTTATTGTTTTGAAGCCTGTGCCAATGGTGATATGAGTATGATAGGTGGGTATGGTTTCAATTGTTATAAATACTGAAAAAACTCAAGTGACCAGAATTTAAGCTGGCATAGGAAATGGAATAGCCAACATTGTACCAAAGAGTTTAGGAAAATTGACACCATGAAAAAAATTTGAGGATAACAACCAGTGCTAAGATGTTCTGGGGAAGAAATATTTGTATTCTGATTAAGTTTAGAGCTCTTCTGCTTCTATTTGGAGAAAAATGCCCAACTCTGTGGAAGATGGTTAACACAGGATCATAAATATATCAAATGACTTATTTTTTTAAACATACTTCATGTTGTCTATCTTAATAGCCCCCAAAATGAACATATTCTTCCAGTAAGACTGTCAAATCATTCATTATCTCTCTCTTAGAACATCACTCTCTTCATTCTGCAGCCTGTTATCATGTTAATAGAATAAAGTAATTACACAGAATAGATTTAGCAGAGAGAAAAATGGGTGGTACCTGGAAGCATGTTCATTTTTTGCTTATTTAATAATTTATTTATTTATTCAAGAATCATTTATGGAACAGCTGATATATGCCCAGAATTACTTAGTGTGACATTGTCACCACCAATATAATCTGATATACAAAACAGGTGAGGTCTTTAAGTGGCATTAGGTTAACCTTGCATGTTTATATGGTCTGTATTTGTTACTCTGATTTTTAGAAGTTGTTCTTTACTGTTCTGAGTAATGTCTGCTCGAACAATATCATAAATTGCTATGTATCTGCCAGGAAATATTTGACTTTTACTTTAGAACCCCCATTATATTTCTGACATAAGGACTATAATATTAAAAGTATTTATGAAAATGTTTAGGATTAATCTATCATTCGCAAATATCTAAATAATAGTCAAGCTATTGGACACCATGGAAAGGCTAAGGAAAACAATCATAAGTTTCTTCAGATGGGATGAATGTCTCCATGCCTCCTCTTCTTCCTCAGAAGTATTTGTTTCTTTTATTCTGGTCTTTGCACAAAAAATAAAAAACAAATCTGTTTTCTGGAGATTAGCATTATGCTGATATTCATGATTAAATAGAAGCAGATATGCAAGCACCACAGTTACAATGATGCAAAGAACCCTAGAAATGTATGTCCTTTCCTGAAGATTATCTCACTGATCATTGCTGGTTTTATTGTTTGTTGTTTTTGTTTTGTTTTGTTTTGTTTTCTGTACAGGCAATACTTCCAAAATCCCGCGATCCAACTTGCCTAGAAAGTATATCAGGAAGTTCTTTCCCAAGCGAAAGTGCTTTGTTTTTGAACGCCCTACAAATAACATAAACTTGTTACAACAGATGGAGGAAGTGTCAGAAAACCAACTAGAGTGCAGTTTCCGGGAGCAATCCAAACATTTCTGTAACTATATCTTCAGAGATGCAAAAACCAAGACCCTCAGAGAGGGAATCATTGTCACTGGAAATCGTGAGTCTCCATTCTCACAGTCGTTCATTCTGTGTGATTGTACTCAGGGTTTGTCAGTAGTTCTGTTTCCTTCTCCATGTGATGTGGATAAGCAGAGATTCATGCCACACATAGACATCTATGTTTCTTCATTAAAGTTTTCCTATATGAGGGCTTATTGAAGCCCACTGTATCTCATGAAACTAATACACTAATGACATAAGCACAAGCTGCTGTTGATAGGAATCTGCATGATGATGATAAGACCAATTAGAAAAAATATATAGCAGAACAAAAGCCACTGGAAGTTCATTAGAGTTTGAGAAGAAAACGTAACATATAGCCTTATGTACAGGGCCAGATTCATGGAACTATACCACCTCAGCAGACATACAGTGCCTTGGAATGAGGTGGGCCAAGGCTTGATTTAATATTTCAGTCACTATCCTGAAATTTTTGGTTTTTTATCTGGGTCCAAATTTTCATTGGAAAATTTTACCCACAAATTATTTACTTTATATACCTGTAAATAAACTCTTTTAAAATGTATTTCAATTGGGAAAAAGTCCCAGGAAACCTTTGAATATATTGGTTGAAATTATTAACTTTATATTATCATAAGCTGAATTTGAGAACCATAAAAGAGAGAGTGTATAGGAGATATGATGATGTTATTACAAGGAAGTAGGTTTATAGTATATAACATATAACGGAGAAGGAGACAACAATGAAAGCAATGAGGAAGGTGGGGAGTAAAGGAAGAGAAAACAAAAATCTAAATTCAATATAATTTTTGTTCTTTTTAGAATGATGATCTAAAGATTGTGGTGCAGTAAGAACTTCCTGTCCATTTTCTGAATATCTTGTGTCATTCAGGGATGGGGACTCTGGCAAAGGCCTATGTGGATGCCATCAATAGTGGAGCAGTGCCTTGTTTGGAAAATGCAGCGATAACTCTGGCTGAGCATGAGAACTCAGTGGCCGTGCAGAAGGCAGCCGACTACTACAGTGACCAGATGGCCCAGAGAGTGAACTTCCCCACAGACACGCTGCAGGAGCTGCTGGACCTGCACACAGCCTGTGAGAAGGAAGCCATTGCAATCTTCATGGAGCGCTCCTTCAAGGATGACAAGGGGGAGTTCCAACAGAAACTTATGGTAATATGTCTTAGCATATATCCTTCCTCATTCCTGTTCTTCTAGATTAACGCTTAAACATCCCCTTTTTGACCCATAGTTCATGAGTTTCCCATTGTAAAAGAAGTTTGCATTCACGTGAGTGTCTGGGATCTATAGTCAACAATTCATCCTTTTCCTGAAGGATTGGCTCTTTATTTCCATTATGGCAAAGCAAATTAACATGTGCTTATTAGCAGTTTGCAAAAACACATAATTTTTTAGTTCACTATTCTTCAGGTGAGTTCCTAGCACAAGATGTATGGTGCTCTGCTGTGTTTACCAAGAGCTGAAAACAAGATTCAGATGTTGTACACCTAAAACTAATATAATGTCATGGGAACTCCTCCCCATCTTCAAGGCAGCAATGGTGCATTGTACCTGTGTTTTTTTTCTAATGTTTTTCACTACTTCTCTGCTACCAACTAGAGAAAAATACTCCCGTGTTTAGGTATGCCCACTTGAGTAATCTTCGTTTCTTAAAGTGGGCCAGTGCCATATAAAAATCTTATCAGATGATCAATATTTAACTTATTCATCGGCCTACAGACTATCATGTATTGACACCAGGAGAAAGAACTCTTGAGGACAACATAAGTCTGCCCAATATAAACACCTCCACCTTGTCTTTGAGTCTGTCATTGACCATTGTACAAGTTACAAAACTCTCACTTCATACAGAAGAAAATTAATATGATTATAATTTTTCTGGTTTAGCAAAAAAATTCTTTCCCAATATATTGGCACAATCAAGCCCTCATTAAATTAATTCATGAGGAGTTCAAAACTCTGTTCAGTGAACACTTACCTTATTTGTGGACAGTTGATTTACTGTGTATATATTTTTATCCATAACTATCCAAGTTTGCAGAGGAAAGTCTACTTTCAGTTATATTGAACTTTCCATTGCTCATTATTGATAGATGGACCACTGTTATTCTAATGACCGATAAAGGAACCTTGATGATACTGGATTGCATATTTGATTTTTGCTAGAGAATTGAATTTAAAAGTTCTCATCAAAGAAAAAACAATGTTTATGCCTATGTAAGGTGGCAGACAATAATTAGACAATACAGTGATCATTTTGAAATGTACAGTGGGGCCTTGACTTATGAGTGTCCCGACTAACGAGTTTTTTCGAGATATGAGCCGTCTCTCGGCCGATTTTTTGCTTTGAGTTGCAAGCTAAAATTCGGGTTACAAGCCAGCTTCAGATTCCCCACCGCTAGTTGGCGCAGTGAATGTCACAGTGATTTGACATATGAGTAATTTGAGTTACGAGCTCCATCATGGAATGAATTAAACTCGTATGTCAAGGCCCCAGGGTATACAAATATTGAACCATTACATTGTACACCAGAAGCCAATATAATATATCTCAAATATACCTCAATTTAAAAAATAAATAAACCCTAGATTTCATGTCTACCAGTTCCATATTTTCACAAATGTTGAGCCAGAACCCAAGAGAATTGAGGAAGTTTCCACAGTTCACACAAGGAATTGGTCTAAACTGGGACTACAGTGAATTTTCTGAGCATGGTCTATGTGGTTCCATGCTCCAGTCCACCTTGATGGCATTAAACTACTTCTTCCAAGAGGATTATAGTTGGACCTTTTGTTCTTTTATAACAGCCTCTTTCCTTTGGGTTTCTCCACATTTCTGTGGCAGGGCATCATAGAGAAAAAGAAGGAAAATTTCTTGCTGAAGAATGAAGAGGAATCTCTCAAATATTGCCAGGCTCAGCTTACACAGCTTTCAAAGCCACTGATGGAAGGCATTTCGAAAGGAACTTTCTCTGTACCTGGAGGATACACTCTCTACTCAGAGGAAATGATCAAGGTTGAACGGTCCTATGAATTAATACCCAGGAAAGGAGTGAAGGTGAGGAATAAAATGAGGGGGTACAGAGGTTTTGTAGGTACTTTTGAAAAATCTAAGATGATAGGACTACATGTGAAGAGATAGAAAAGCATGGTGATATCTGTACATTTTTATCTTTTACATCCACAATTAGTTAAATACTCTTAAATAAACAAGAATATTTTTTCCCAAACATAAGATTTATTTTCAGGAATGTAGATGAAATAGAACGTGTCTTTCATTTAGAAACAATGTAATAGCTTAGCACTGTATAGAAGGAATGCACAATTAAAGAAACAATGTTCTGAAGAAGCTTATGATCTCACCTAAAAAAAGAAAATATAGTCATTTAGATTGGTAGGATAATGTTTATCATATAAGTATACACCAATAGTGACGATGATAATGATGATGATGATCATGATAATGTCTGATATATATTGAGCACACACTTTCTACACCAAGTACACTTTTCTGTTGATATTTTAAATTGACTATCACTTTAATCTTTAGAATAATATGAGTTTAGATAGTAATATCATCCCTATAATACAGTTGAGAAATGAGATGAACTGAGAAGCTCATAAGTTACCTAAGAACATACCTCCAGTGAGTGGTAGAGCTGGTAGGGCAGGTCTGTGTACCTGGCATCCAGTCAGATCTCAGGAGGAAGTTAAACACAGCTTCTTGGAAGAGGAGGTAGAAGCTATAAGTTGAAGTTTTGGTAAGTAGTATCTAAGTAAAGAAAGGGTAGATGAGCATCAGTGAGAAGGAAAAAAAATATGTATAGATATTGCATACAATTGAGGAGGAGTGTTTGTAGAACTACCATAAGTGGCATCATTAAGAAGAAGCTAGGGTTGCAAAATAGGGTTTTTTCCCCCCAACTAAAGCTGTTGGATCTTTAATTGTGGCCCCAGAAGGAAGGGAACCACTGTTGGATGCTATGAAGGATGAAGCATTTACAGAGTCAAATTTGTAGTTTTATTGAACACTGACTTCCCCAGCAAGAAGAGTCTTAGCTCCTTATTTCCTCAGGCAATGGAGGCCCTCCTGAACTTCAATCAGTCACAGGCTGCAACAAAGGAATGCATCCTGCAGGCTGACAAGGCCCTCACTGCTGGGGAGAAGGCTCAAGCAGGTACAGGGCAGGGCTGTGATCATAGAGGGTATGGTAGGTTCCTGCAGTGCCCCTGAATGTGTGAGAAAAAATCCTTCTTGAAACAATGTGTTTTCACAAAAGGATTAGAACAACTAAATCCAAAAATAACCAGGTGAGTTTTCATTGCTTTCTCAGGCAATCAATGCCTTTCCATCACATTCTGAAATGTGTTTTGCTCCTATTGCTGGTAAGAATATTGAGAGATTACTCACTGCCATTTAAAAATAATTTTAGGAGCTCCTCTTATCTTTGAAGGGTATAGCTAGGTATAATTTTTATTTTCTTAACTCTGTAAAACCACTGTGGAACAGATGAGCGAGCCAAGAGAGAGGCATCGGAAAGACAAGACAAGCTGCGAAGACAGACACTGAATGAAATGAAGCAACAAATGGAGGCTCAAGAGAGAAGCTTCCAGGAAACTATGGCCCAGATGAAGGAAAAGATGGGGAGAGAAAGAGAAATCCAACAGAGTGAGCTACAAAGAATATTGAAGCACATGGAGAAGGTAAGTCTAGGTGGGGTGTGGGCAAAGCCAAAAGGACAGTCAGCTAGTTCCTCATGAAGGGAAAACCAAAAACTAAAGTTATAAACACTGAATGAAATCCAAAGGCATATGATTCAGTGAGATGTCTTTCTAAAGCCCTATGTCTTTAGAACTCAGCACCTTCTGTGGTATTAGAATTAGGGGGGTTCAAATAACATAACCCAGACTCATGAAACTGGTATTTGTGGTGATTATAGGGTCCTATTGTGTCCCTAAGTGAATAGGACTTCAGTTCTCAGGATGTTTGGTACACCCATCAAAGACACCTGACATAGAGCCATCTGGTCTCAAAGCATCAGATATGAAATATGGGATAATGAAAGCTCTAAAATGTGCAACATTGGTTTCCACATCTGCCTGCTTCATTCTACACATCCAGAGTAAGATAGTTAGAACTAAAACTTCATCTTTCCCAAAGAACATCCCTAGGACTGAAACCCATTCCTGACATTGGTGTCAGACCTGAACCAGCCCCAAGTCCTCCCATCACCAGTGAGATCCTGCTAAGGGAACTTAGGAAGGTATAAACCAAGGATACTCCTGCTACCAGATCTAGAGGTTTAGAAATACTGGACAAAAAGCATCAAAGAGCTATTTTAATTCTATAATGATTTTTATACGGGTCATAAGATTAAATTGAATTAATGCATGTATTGCTGGCTTTTGCTTAAACCCATGGTCTTTTTTTCTTAATTGTAAATTCCTCTGCATCAATAGGAACAAGAGATACAGAAGATATACAAAGAGAAAGAGTCAGAGACGAAAAAAGAGATGGAAGGTGAGAACAGCTAAAAGCATTCCAGATATCAAAATAATAAATTGTATTTCAAAATTAAGAACTCCTCTCTTTGAAAAAGCACACTTTTCATTCTTTTAGTAGAATGAAAAGACAAGTCACAGATTGGAAGTAACTATTTGCAAATCACAAATTGGATTTAGGACTTGTATCCAGAATATTTAAAGAACTCTTAATACTCAACAAACATCTTACTAACTGGAAAAGCAAACATTCCAATTAAAAGGAAAAAATGATATAATTTAAACAGACACTTCATCAAAAAATATATATTTGGATGACAATAAGCACAGTATACAATATTATTAACAACATCACTACTTATTAGAAAAGTGGAAATTCAAGCCACAATAAGATATCGCTATGCTCCTACTAGAATGGCTAAAATTACAAAGAAGAAACATCTCAAGTGTTGGTGGGGATGTAGAGCAACTGGAACTCTTATGTACTGCTGGTGGGAATGTAAAATGGTAAATCACTGAAAAAGTTTGTCAGTTTCTTAAAAAGTTAAACAAATACTAACCACGCAGAGTAATCATTTTGCTTCTATATCTATCCCCAAGAAAAATGGAAGTTTGTGCATACGATAGCTTTATTGATAATAGCCATTAACTGAAAACCATGTCTGTCCACAGGTGAATGATGAATGAATTTTAACATATCCATACAAGAGAATACTACTGAACAATAAAAAGAAATAAACTATCAATACATACAAGAATGTTATGGATCTGAAAATAGATATGTTAAGTGAAAGAGGGCAAAAAAATGTCTACATACTGTATGATCCTTTTATGTAAAATGACAGAAAATGCAAGCTATTCTACAGTGACAGGAAGCTGGGCAGTGGTTTTGCCTAGTGATGGGGATGAGGGTTTATGTTCAGGAGGGAGGATTTTCCTAAGGGCATGTGAAGATGTGGCTGTTTCTGAGTGATGGGCATGCTTGTAACTTAATTGTGGTGGTGGTTTAACAGGTGTATACATGTATCATCCATAATAATAAAAGCATAATATGCTAATTAGACCGGATAGCCGAATGACCTCCCGGATGTCATTCTGGATGTCCTTCTGGACAACCTTTCAGGCAAAGCCGCAGCAGTGGGGCCAAGGCAGAGGCAGCCACCGCGGTTGCCTGGGGGGAGGCAGGGGTGGTTAGGGGCAATCAGACAGGCAGGCAAGCAGTTAGGGGCTATCATGCAGGCAGGCGAGCAGTTAGGAGTGATCAGGCAGGCAGGCGAGTGGTTAGGGGCAATTAGGGAGGCAGTTAGGCTAGTGGTTAGGAACCAGCGGTCTCAGATTGTGAGAGAGATGTCCGACTGCCAGGTTAGGCCCGATCCCATGTGAGATCGGGCCTAACTCGACAGTCGGGCATCCCTCAAGGGTTCACAGATTTTGTGCACTGGGCCTGTAGTAAGTCAATAAAAACTTATCTGACAGTGTATTGCATGACTATTTTTAAAAAAAATATATATTTTATTGATTTTTTACAGTGAGGAAGGGAGAGGGATAGAAAGTTAGAAACATCGATGAGAGAGAAACATCGATCAGCTGCCTCCTGCCGCAGGCCAACGCTCTATTCACTGAGCCAAACCTGTCAGGGCTGCATGACTATTTTACAGCACTAAAGCTTTTCCAAAAATATAAAACAACAAATTACTCTGGGTAATGAGAAGCCCTAGAATTGTTAATGTGAGCCATATCAGTGCACCTGAAATCAAAGAATAACAAGGAGAGTTTATAGTTCCAAGGGATTCTTTAACTGTTATTTACAGTCCTCTTTGCTTACTCAGTACAAAAATTATCAGAAGTTTTCTCTATGAAATAAGAATAAAACAAAAAAGATAGGTTGAAAGAAAAATAAGGAATAAATATCACAATTTAATCCTCATGTTTCTCTGCTTATTTTTCTTCCTCTGAAGCTCTGATAAAATTGTTCGATGAAATGCAAAAGAGAAATCAGCAGATGATGGAAGAGAAAGAAAAGAAGTATCAGGTATGGGTGAAACAGTTGATTGAGAAGATGGAGATGGAGAAGGCCCAGACCATGGCAGAGCAAGACAGGATTCTAAATATTAAATTTTAGGCATTCAACTTTGTCATCACCATTTTATCGTCCACTGCACTGAATCAAAAACATGCTTAGAAGTTAGAGCATTACGTCCAATTATGGGATTTTCTAACCCAAACACTAGTAAACAATTTATGACCATATACGTAATTAATCATGTAATTACATGCTCAGGCTTCCTGTATCGTCCTGTTCTCCAGGCTCCACTATGAGTCATTGTTGAGTCCAGATGTCCACCCAGAAATACAGTGTGGACTGTCACAGGCCCCCATCTCCTCAACCTATTATTGTTACTTTGCCTCCAAGTTTCGGAAAGTTGTACTAAGTTCACTGATCAAACATCTGCCATGACTCTGAGTCATGTAGTAACCTTCCCGATGGAATTCATTCATCTTTCTCACATTTGTAGATAGATATTTGAGAGGCCACACTACCTAGATCAGAGTTGAAGGAAAAAATGCTATAATTTCCAGGAAGCCTGTGGTGAATATGGGTGAAGAGGAAGTAAGTTTCTGAAACTTATTCACAAATAAGTTTCAAAAACTCATGAAGGATTAACATAGGTATTGAAAAGGGAAATAATTTGGCAAATGTGGGAAATGTTTTACATTGTGTGAGTTCGGTCTTCATTTTTTCTCTCAGAAAAAATTGCAGTCTCTCCAGAAGAAATACAAGGAAGATATCAAGAAACTTCAATTTGAAGTAAAATATATGGAGATGAAAATAGAAGGAAATAAATGTACCATACTCTAAAAATGCTAGGAACATAACTTCCTAACCAGCTCCCTCCCTCCACAGGAAACTACTTGATTGAGCAACTTCTGAATGTCACACAGTTGCCACTAAACTAAAATTAGAATCAGGATGTTTGTAATTTTGTTGAACCAAAAAAACTGCAAAGACGAAATAAACTGCAAATACAATGTTTCCCTACAGAGTGATTCAATTCTTGCTGAATATACTAATAATGATTAGTATAATCCTTACATGGATTCTTTATTTGCAAGCATGGTTACTGAGTCTAGAGAGACACATTAAATTGTATAATGAGATGCATTTTGCAATGAGGAGATATCAGGTGGGTTCTGTTCAGGGTAGACTTGCTCTCCCTCATGTACATCACCCCACTAGACATCCTAAGCCCCTTGCTATTGCTCAAGGGATTGCTTTGGTTTTGGGATAGCGTTGGAGTGTTGTGAATTTAAGGCAAAGCTCATGGAAGTGAACAAAGCCATGGGACACATTGATCATCATTCCTGCCAAGTAGTCTATGGCTGGCTGCAAATCAGGGAGACCTGGGATAGTTGACTGCAAGGTGCAGACAGAGTACAGTTCTTGGTTGGGTGGTGGCTACATGGTCTGTGGGCACAGACGGGACTCTGGGATTCTGGTAGAAGAAGTCCTTGCCTCTGTGCAAAATGGATTTATGTGTAAATGTTTCACCTTCCCTGTCTCCAGAATTCTTCTGGGTAATTACTGTCCATCCACAGGCCACCCACCTCTCAATCTTCCTCTTTCCTTAGTCTTTTTCTTCCCACAATTCAGAAAGTAAATTCTACAGTCATAGAAAGGGAAGTTTTAACTCAAACATGAAAAATAACTATTTTCATTCCTCTGAAATTCATAACTATAATCCTGCAAAACTTAAACCAAACTCTATTGTCCTCTCGGCCTTGCTGCTTTAGTGTAGGAACAATATTTTGAAGGAAAAAATGAATGTTGACCCTGAACTCAAACCATATGCAAAACTAAATTTGAGATGAATTATAGTCTTAAATGTTAAAGTGAGTATTTAAAAGAAAGCTTTTGAAAAAGAAAACATAGAAGAAATCTTTATAATCTTGGTATGAAAGGGAACTCTCATGCCCACATGATGAGACAAATTGATGTCACCACCATGGAAAACATTATGGAGATTGCTGAAAAAATAAAAATAAGCCCTACCTGGTTTGACTCAGTGAATAGAGCGTTGGCCTGCAGACTGAAAGGTTCCAGGTTCTATTTTGGTCAAGGGCACATGCCCAGGTTGTGGGCTCAATCCCAAGTGAGGGGCATGCAAGAGTTAGCCAAACAATGATTCTCTCTCATCATTGATGTTTCTATCTCTCTCACCCTATCCCTTCCTCTCTGAAATCAGTAAAAAATATTTAAAAATAGAAAATTAAAAATAAAACTACCATATGAATTAGCAATTCCAGTTCTGGCTCTTTATCTGAAAAAAAAAAAAAAAAGAGAGAAAAGAAAACACTAACTCAGAAAGATATATGTACTCCTATATTCATTGCAGCACTACTTATAATAGCCAAGATATAAAATCACTGTAAGTGTTCATCAACAACTGAATGGATAAAGAAAAATGTGGCATATATATTTATACAGATATATTACTCAGCCATAACAAAAAAAGGAAACCTTGCCATTTGCAACAACATCAATGGACCTTGAGAGCATATGCTAAATGAAATAAATCAGAACAGAGAAAGATAAATACAATATGACCTCATATGTGGACTCAAAAAAACAAGCCCATTTATAAACAGAATACACTGGGGGTTGCAAGAAGCAGGTGATAAGGAGTAGCAGAAATGGGTATAGGAAATCATAAGTTACAGCCTTACAGTTATAAAATAAGTCATTAGGATGTAATGTACAGCATTGTACCAATACTTAATATTGCATATTTTAAAGTTGTTAAGATAGTAAATCTTAAAAGTGCTGATCACAAGAAAAATATTCTGTAAGCACGTATGGTGGTGAATTGTGGGAAAGCAAGTCTGTGTATGTGCAAGCACCTGCTTACTGGAATCTATGCTTAGTCTTTAGACGTCCTTGCTTAAAGGACACTGCAGATGCATGTGTCTTCTCAGGGATACTTACCCTACTGTTAATATCTAATAGTTAATTTTAGTTCAAGCCCTAGTTATAATAAGAGCCTGAGGAGGCAGGCGAACGGGGCTGTTTGGTTTCTTTCACAGAAATGTCTGTCTGAGTAATCATTCATCCATAGCTCAGGATCTGCGGGTCAGCCCTGGCAATGAATGTTAACTAGACTTACTATGGTCATCATTTTGCAATATATACAAATATCAAATCACTATGTTGTACACATAAAACTAATATGTTATATGTTAATTATAACAATAAAAAGGAATTAAAATATTTCACTCTTTAAAATGTCATAATAATAGTGATTCAGGGTGTTTTGTGTTGTTTTTTGTTTTTTTGGTGAGCAGGGTGCAAGGGTGATTTCTTTCCCGGGTTCTTGTCCAGTTGAATTAGAAGGATGAAGCCATAGAAAAAGTTGTAGATGAGAAGTACAGAAACTTTATTGCAAGCAGATACTATCTCTAAAGCTCCTAATTCTAAGTTTCTATTCCTAAGACTCTGTCTCTCCTGGCTGAAATAGGGTGACCACTGCTCTCTTTGTCTTGAGGTATTATGTATTCTAGGGACCCTTCCCTTAATCTAGGACCCCTGTGCTTTCCTCATTGGTCTCTCTGCTACGTAGTATTAGTTTCAAAGGCCAAAGCCCAAGTGGTGCCCCCTCTTCTTTCCCCTTATTTTGCAATAAGTCTCTATCCTCTGTGAACATATGTCTTTCTCTCTCATTATCCTGTGGCATTTCTCTGTCCTTCACATATCAATCTTGTCTGTTCAGGTTGGAATTGCTTTTGATCTTCCTTGTTACAGAAGAGCAAAGAAATACCAAGCACACTTAATAGAGAAGGGAGGGACCCCATTTATTAACACTGGTGGGCTCCAGGAATAATTTCCAAATCAGAGTGAAGTAACAGGCAGAGACTTCGCTTTTCATAACCTTCTGGGGTCTTTGTCTTGCAGATATGGTTCCGCCCCCTTTTGTGGACTTACAGGAAGGCCCCCAGGTGTTGATGATCTGTCCTGGGGCCAGCGATAAGGACCTTCCCCCCTACCCCCAGGGCAGTGCAAGTTTCACAGTTTCTATGGCCTGACCTGTCTTGCAAGACCAGTTTCCCACCCCCCCCCCCACCCCCCATTTTCCCACAAGCTTCTTTTAGCCTTGTGGAGCAATGAATCTGCAGGTGGTGTTTCTGGTATCCAGGTGTTCAGTCCTGCAACCTTGAGACCGGTGAGGGTGGTCAGGATGACTATATGTGGTCCCCTCCAGGTAGGAGTCAGTCCTTGGATGGTCTTTACCTAAACAGAGTCACCAGGTTGGAAGGCAGAATGTCTCAAACATGCTTCTGGATTGCTTTCTGGGTAGACTGTAAAGCCTGTAAGAACTTGAGTAAAAATTAGTTATGGATTTCAGCCTTTACCCACCAGAATCTGTAGAGGCCCCAGTGGTTTCCAGGGCAGCCTTCCGGGCTGCTTTGTCTGCGGCCCAGTTCCCTCTTGCCTCTGTGGAGTCCCCATACCCTGCAATAGCACTCCTGCTGCTCCCACTCAGTCCTCTGAATCCTCCATCTCCCCGCCTTGGTGCTGAAAGGGGGAGGGGGCACCCGCGGGGCTTGTTGCCAAGCGCTGGACAGGAGCATCTTTATGAAATGTGAGCACCCACCAAGCTAGAGGTCCAGCCTCCCAGACACCTTGGAGCTTACACTTAGTTCTATCCTGCTGTAACCATTTCTTCTCAAGAGGATGAAAGAAGTTTGATTTTTCTTTCAGATGAAGGCAACTAACCAAACAACCGCTATGTCAGTTTCCAAGTGAGCAAGAGTGAACTCTGTGAAGGAAGTGACAGAAAGTTCAGGATGTAACAGGAAATTGTGCTGTACAGGCATGTTATGGGAAAACAGGATATTCTTGACCCTAAATAAACATATCATCTACCTGCTAAAAGGTGTGCACTGTAAAAGGATCGCATCGGCTTTGATATTGAAGCAGAATTTTTTTAAAACACGTTTTATTGATTTTTTACAGAGAGGAAGGGAGAAGGATAGAGAGTTAGAAACATTGATGAGAGAGAAACATCATGATCAGCTGCCTCCTGCACGCCCCCTAGAGGGGATGTGCCAGCAACCAAGGTACATACCCTTGACCTGAATCAAACCTGGAACCCTTCAGTCTGCAGCCCAACACTCTATCCACTGAGC